TAGCAGTTAGGCTCCATGCACACGGGGCGTTTTATTAACACTGGTAACGTTAGCTGTGTAAAGTCACATTATAAACATGAGTTTTTCAGTATTTTTTAGCGTTTTTGTATTAGCATTTTGCTCCATTTTTTCGCGTTTGCGTTTTTTAGAGTTTTTTTAATCAAAAAAATAATTTTTTGGGGGTAAAAAAACTCCAAAAACGCTGGTTTGCGCCAATTTTACCATGTTTTTTAGCGTTAGAGCATTTTTACAGCTAAAAAACTCCTCTAGAAACCCACTAGTTCTGGGGTTTTCTTCCAGCCAAAAAATGCCCCTGCCAAAAAAAAGTTGATTACAGTCTATGTGTGCATGGACACATAGGATAATATGCTGGGGGGTTAACTGGCTGTAGAAAAAAATGTCAAAAGCCAAAAACAGCAGATGTAAAAACGTCCAGTGTGCATGAGGACTTAAGTTTGTAGAGGATATGAATTCGTCTAGGCTTATAAAAAAGTTCTGTTTTACAATAAAGGCAAAGTTATTATCCTGTTTATGGAAATCCTGCATTATCCCTGGCTTCTCTCAGTGTTCTGTCTCTCCAATCTAAGCATTGATAGTGTGATCTCTGTAACTTACAGTTGTGATGATATAGCGATAACTTCAACCTCAGCTGGATAGTACAGTCAGTGACTCAATCGATAAGACATCTTGTAGATCTTGTGAAGTTTATTCCATAAACTGAGAGAATCTTACAACAATGAGCATTCGATAGGTCAAAAGATCATAATGTTTCCTGCTCCATGACATGAGGCTAGAGCTGCAATACATTTCTGGGAAAGGGGGAGTTCTATCTATACAGCATTAACTAAACCAAAGGAAAGGGAGGAGCAAAAACAAAATATAGAAACTCTTAAAGGCATATGACAGTCAATATGACAGTCATGTGAAGCATGACACTCAGCATCGATCTATGTTGCCAATCCACAAATCTACAGTCAGGTCCATAAATATTGGGACATTGACACAATTCTAAAATTTTTGGCTCTATACACCACCACAATGGATTTGAAATGAAACAAAAAAGATGTGCTTTTTAACTGCAGACTGTCAGCTTTAATTTGAGGGTATTTACATCCAAACCAGGTGAACGGTGTAGGAATTACAACAGTTTCCATATGTGCCTCCTACTTGTTAAGGGACCAAAAGTAATGGGACAGAATAATAATCATAAATCAAACTTTCACTTTGTAATACTTGGTTGAAAAAACCTTTGCAGTCAATTACAGCCTGAAGTCTGGAATGCATAGACATCACCAGACGCTGGGTTTCATCCGTGGTGATGCTCTGCCAGGCCTCTACTGCAACTGTCTTCAGTTCTTGCTTGTTCTTGGGGCATTTTCCCTTCAGTTTTGTTTTCAGCAAGTGAAATGCATGCTCAATCAGATTCAGGTCAGGTGATTGACTTGGCCATTGCATAACATTCCACTTCTTTCCCTTAAAAAACTCTTTGGTTGCTTTTGCAGTATGCTTTGGGTCATTGTCCTTCTCAGGGCTTTTTTTCTCAGAGGAAAGGTGGTGGAACTCCCCCACCCAAACCTGGCCACGCCCCCATCAAACCCTAGGACCACCCCTTTAGAGAACAGGAATGCAAGTAAAATTTGGGAGGGGCTTCCGATGACATCATTTCCCGTACATACCATATAAGGGAAATGATGTTCATCGGACCCCCGGCTGCCTCTTGCATGATCTGCATGAAAACACATGCATAGATATAAAATGCTAATGTACTGACAGAAACACATGCATAATATAAAATGACTAATGTACTGACACCAGAAACACATGCATAGATATAAAATGAATACCGTACTGACACCAGAAACACACGCATACATAGATATAAAATCAGTACCGTACTGACACCAGAAACACATGCATAGATATAAAATGACTAATGTACTGACACCAGAAACACATGCATAGATATAAAATCAGTACCGTACTGACACCAGAAACACACACGCATAGATATAAAATCAGTACCGTACTGACACCAGAAACACATGCATAGATATAAAAAAATCAGTACCGTACTGACACCAGAAACACACGCATAGATATAAAAATCAGTACCGTGACTGGACACCAGGAACACATGCATAGATATAAAATCATGGCAGGCCGTTTGTAAACGTCCAGCATAGATATAAAATCAGTCTAGCATGCATGTGTACCCTGTCTGGTAGATGTGCCTGCTTCCTACAGGCTCCCTAGGGTTGCCACTTTTCTCCAAAAAATACCGTCCATCACTGAATTTATCTTTCCTGTTCCTCATGCACAGGAGGGGCGCTCTCGATCGGCGCCGCTGAGCGCTGAGCAATTGCGTTCTGAAATAGTTTAGGTGGGCTCAGGTGGGTGAGGATAGTTTAGGTGGGCTCAGATAGTTTAGGTGGGCACAGGTGGTTGGGATAGTTTAGGTGGGCACAGGCTGGGGAGAGAGTAAAAATTTAGAGCAATACATGATACTGCAGTCAGTGACAGGGAGCCGAGCGCAGCTTACCTACTCCAAGCTGTACGGCCCCTGCGTCCACGCTGTCACTGCCGTTGATGTCGCCGCGCCGCCCCCGATGTTTTGGCGGGGGGGGGCGGTGAAGCGGCGGCAAGCGTGCAAGTGTCCTCGCCCATCGTCCGCGCCCCCGATGTTTACACGCTGGCGGTAGAGGGGGGGGGGGTGAAAGCCATGTCCCCGCTCACCGGCTGTGAGCAGCGGCAGTGACAGGTGCCGGGCGACGCGCAAGCATGACATAAACAAGCCGCGTCCGGGCACCTGTCACTTTCGCTGCTCTGCATAGCTTGTCAGCTCTGCAGAGGCAGTCGGTGAGCGGGGGGCACAAGAAGAAAAAGGTGGCGGAACGCAGTACCGCCGCGTTCCGGCAGAAAGAAAGCCCTCTGGTCCTTCTGCACTGTGAAGCTCGTCGTTCTGAAGCATTTGGCTGAATATGAGCAGATAATATTGCCCAAAACACTTCAGAATTCATCCTGCTGCTTTTGTCAGCAGTCACATCATCAATAAATACAAGAGAGAACCAGTTCTATTGGCAGCCATACATGTCCATGCCATGACACTACCACCACCATGCTTCACTGATGAGGTGGTATGCTTAGGATCATGAGCAGTTCCTTTCCTTCTCCATACTCTTCTCTTCCCATCACTCTGGTACAAGTTGATCTTGGTCTCATCTGTCCATAGGATGTTGTTCCAGAATTGTGAAAGCTTTTTTAGATGTCGTTTGGCAAACTCTAATCTGGCCATCCTGTTTTTTGAGGCTCCCCAATGGTTTACATCTTGTGGTGAACCCTCTGTATTCACTCTGGTGAAGTCTTCTCTTGATTGTTGACTTTGACACACATACACCTACCTCCTGGAGAGTGTTCTTGATCTGGCCAACTGTTGTGAAGGGTGTTTTCTTCACCAGGGTGTCAGGGCTCCCAGGTGTGACCAGAGATGTGTGACTGAAGCAGGGAAACGCAGACCTCAGATATGTTATAAACAATATAATTTATTAACACTAACAGTACAAACATAAACGCAGTGCAATACTAAAACATAATACGGTGCAAACAAACCCAACCAACCACCCACAGATAACAGTACATACAAGCAAGCGTCGTCAGGCAGGCCGGGTCAATATCAATTGGGCAGGTAGGTACAGAGGGTCAGGCAGAGGGATGGTCCGGGTCACAAGCCAGGGATCAGAACAGGTAGCAAGCAGCGTAGTACAGAGGGTCAGACAGAGGGATGGTCAGGGTCACAAGCCAGGATCAGAGCAGGAGAAGTCAGCAAAGGAACAGAAACAGGATGCAGGACAGATACAGGGCCCAGGACAAACACAACACCAAGGCAGAGTCTGTGGGTCTGGCCATCCCTTAAATACCCCAGCATCATCAGTTCCAGGTGTTAGCTGGCTGACGAAAGGTTGAGTCTCTGATTGCTGGGAGCACCCGCTGGCCAGCCCTGGTACTGCAGATCAAAAGGCAGGTGAGTCCCACCATTGCTGGCCAGTCCATTCCTAACAGTACCCCCCCCCCCCAAGGAGCGGCCTCAGGACGCTCCAAACAGTCCTAGCTGGGCAAAATGTTCCACCGCCCGGGTCTGGTAACTGGCGGGATATCAAAGACTGGCACACCGGGCAGGACTCCGGGCAGCGGCACACCGGGCTGGACTCCGGGCAGAGGCACACCGGGCTGGACTCCGGGCAGAGGCACATCGAGCAGAGGCACACCGGGCAGAGGCACACCGGGCAGAGGCACACCGGGCAGAGGCACATCAGGCAGAGGCACATCAGGCAGGACTCCGGGCAGAGGCACATCGGGCAGAGGCACATCGGGCAGGACTCCGGGCAGAGGCACATCGGGCAGGACTCCGGGCAGAGGCACATCGAGCACCGGGCCCCGGGCACCGGGCCCCCGGGGAGCAGCAGGCACCGGGCCCCCGGGCGGGGCAGCAGGCACCGGGCCCCCGGGGGGCGGGGCAGCAGGCACCGGGCCCCCGGGCGGGGCAGCAGGCACCGGGCCCCCGGGCGGGGCAGCAGGCACCGGGCCCCCGGGCGGCAGCAGCAGGCACCGGGCCCCCGGGCGGAGCAGCAGGCACCGGGCCCCCGGGCGGAGCAGCAGGCACCGGGCCCCCGGGCGGGGCGACAGGCACCGGGCCCCCAGGCGGGGCGACAGGCATCGGCCCCCAGGCGGGGCGACAGGCATCGTGCCCCCAGGCGGGGCGACAGGCATCGTGCCCCCAGGCGGGGCGACGGGCATCGGGCCCCCAGGAGGGGCGACGGGCATCGGGCCCCCAGGCGGGGCGACGGGCATCGTGCCCCCAGGCGGGGCGACGGGCATCGTGCCCCCAGGCGGGGCGACAGGCACCGTGCCCCCAGGCGGAGCGGCGGGCGCCGGACCTCCAGATGGAGCGACAGGTCTCGGGCCCTCAGGCGGAGCGGCGGGCGCCGGACCCCCAGGTGGAGCGACAGGTCTCGGGCCCTCAGGCGGAGCGGCGGGCGCCGGACCCCCAGGCGGAGCGACAGGTCTCGGGCCCTCAGGCGGAGCGGCGGGCGCCGGACCCCCAGGTGGAGCGACAGGTCTCGGGCCCTCAGGCGGAGCGGCAGGCGCCGGACCCTCAGGCGGGAGCGACAGGTCTCGGGCCCTCAGGCGGAGCGGCGGGCGCCGGACCCCCAGGAGGAGCGACAGGTCTCGGGCCCTCAGGCGGAGCGGCGGGCGCCGGACCCCCAGACGGAGCGGCGGGCGCTGGACCCCCAAGCGGAGCAACAGGTCTCGGGCCCCCAGGCAGAGCGCGGGGCACCGAGACACCAGGCACGACAGTGGGCTCCGAGTCAACTGGTATGACCGCAGGCACTGGGTCAGACATTGGATGGTCTGGCTGGACAGCGGGCATCGGGTCACCAGGCATCAGGTCATTTAGCTCGACAGCGGGCACCGCGTCATCTGGCAAGGCAGTGGGCTCCGAGTCAACTGGTATGACCGCGGGCACTGGGTCAGACATTGGATCGTCTGACCGGACAGCGGGCATCGGGTCACCAGGCATCAAGTCATTTGGCTCGACAGCGAGCACCGCGTCATCTGGCAAGGCAGTGGGCTCCGAGTCAACTGGCATGACTGCGGGCACCGGGGCAGACATTGAATCGTCTGGCTGGACAGCGGGCATCGGGTCACCAGGCATCAGGTCATTTGGCTCGACCGCGGGCACCGCGTCATCTGGCAAGGCAGTGGGCTCCGAGTCAACTGGTATGACCGCGGGCACTGGGTCAGACATTGGATCGTCTGACTGGACAGCGGGCATCGGGTCACCAGGCATCAGGTCATTTGGCTCGACAGCGGGCACCGCGTCATCTGGCAAGGCAGTGGTCTCCGAGTCAACAGGCACGACAGTGGGCACCGGGTCATCAGGTACCGGATTGTCTGCTCGACAGCGGGCATCGGGTCATCAGGTATGACAGCGGACACTAGGTCACCAGGCATCAGGTCATTTGGCTTGCCAGCGGGCACCGCGTCATCTGGCAAGGCAGTGGGCACCGAGTCACCAGGTACGACAGCGGGCTCTGAGTCAATTGGCACGACAGCGGGCACCGGATCAGGTACCGGATCATCTGGATCAACAGCGGGCATAGAGTCAACTGGCCTAATAGGATCGTCAGGCTGGATCAGTTCATCATGCTGGGTAGAGGCATTAGGCCGAGTAGAGGCTTCAGGCCGAGTAGAGGCATCAGGCCGAGTAGAGGCATCAGGCCGAGTAGAGGCTTCAGGCCGAAGAGAGGCATCAGGCCGAGTACAGGCATCAGGCCGAGTACAGGCTTCAGGCCGCGGAGAGGCTTCAGGCCGCGGAGAGGCTTCAGGCCGCGTAGAGGCTTCAGGCCGCGTACAGGCTTCAGGCCGAGTACAGGCATCAGGCCGAGTACAGGCATCAGGCCGAGTACAGGCTTCAGGCCGAGTAGAGGCTTCAGGCCGAGGAGAGGCTTCAGGCCGAGGAGAGGCTTCAGGCTGAGGAGAGGCTTCAGGCCGCGTAGAGGCTTCAGGCCGAGTAGAGGCATCAGGCTGCGTACAGGCATCAGTCTGAACCACGGAAGGCAGGCTCACCGGTTTGGATACTGGCAGGATGGTATTGGTTGGAAAGAATTTTCGCTTTTTTCTGGTTTTAACTACTGGAGCACTGCAAGTAAACGCAGGTCTGCAAACGAATGGAGCAGCTGGAGACAGAGAAGAACTGGAGGATGGAACAGGAGAGGGAGCAGTTGCTACAGAGGGCTTTTTTACAGGGTTACAAGCCAGGATCAGAGCAGGAGAAGTCAGCAAAGGAACAGAAACAGGATGCAGGACAGATACAGGGCCCAGGACAAACACAACACCAAGGCAGAGTCTGTGGGTCTGGCCATCCCAAATACCCCAGCATCATCAGTTCCAGGTGTTAGCTGGCTGAAAGGTTGAGTCTCTGATTGCTGGGAGCACCCGCTGGCCAGCCCTGGTACTGCAGATCAAAAGGCAGGTGAGTCCCACCATTGCTGGCCAGTCCATTCCTAACACAGGGAAAGAATTCTTTGGTCATCCACCACAGTTGTTTTCCGTAGTCTTCCAGGTCTTTTGGTGTTGCTGAGCTAACCGGTGTGTTCCTTCTTTTTAAGAATGTTTCAAACAGTTGTTTTGGCCACGCCTAATATTTTTGCTATCTCTCTGATGGATTTGTTTTGTTTTTTCAGCCTAATGATGGCTTGCTTCACTGATAGTGACAGTTCTTTGGATCTCATCTTGAGAGTTGACAGCAACAGATTCCAAATGCAAATAGCACACTTGAAATGAACTCTGGACCTTTTATCTGCTCATTACAATTGGGATAATGAGGGAATAACACACACCTGGCCATGGAACAGCTGATAAGCCAATTGTCCCATTACTTTTGGTCCCTTAACAAGTGGGAGGCACATATGCAAACTGTTGTAATTCCTACACCGTTCACCTGATTTGGATGTAAATACCCTCAAATTAAAGCTGACAGTCTGCAGTTAAAGCACATCTTGTTCGTTTCATTTCAAATCCATTGTGGTGGTGTATAGAGCCAAAAATGATAGAATTGTGTCGATGTCCCAATATTTATGGACCTGACTGTAGATCTGCTTCCGAAGAGCTGTTCAAGCTCTCAAAAATTGTGCTGGGATATGAGAACTGTGATGAGATGCCTATCCCATGTTTCCAGCCACTCTCAGGGCATAAAAACACAAAGGCCAAGGCACCTTGTATCTGAGTCTTATAGAAAATGGCACCGTTATCTTTTACCTAAGGCGGGTGGGTTGCTTGGATACATCTACCATTAAGACTCTTCCAGTTCAAAAAAGTTAAATATTGGGAAATGTGTAGGTCAATATGACTATGAAATGGAAAAACAATTTATAGAGTGCAGCAGTTTTAATTTACCAAGAGTTTCTTGTTGTATATTTACAGGATTCTGAGCAATAACAAGATATCGCTGGTAAAGAACAGAGCTTTTTTTGGACTGAGCTCCCTGGAGAAGCTGTGAGTAGGAATATTATTCTGAGCATTTCTTTGGTTTGAAAAATGGCTGAAAATGAATTGCTTATAAAGTTTACTGGGATCACAATGCGAAATGCATTTCACTTGTCACTGTTTCAGATTGTCCAACTTATATAAACATTGTCATGAACCAGAAAGTTCAGGAGGAAAAAAAACAGAACTACAAACACACAAAAGTAAAGAGATAAAAAGACAGAAAGTATCCTCAACGGAATGTAATAAAAAAATTGAACATCTTGTAAATACATTGGGATTTCTTTGGAAAGTCATTTCTGTATAAATAGAAACCTGAGGCTTTTATTACAGCTCAGAAGAGAAGCTTCTCTTCAATAGACCCCAATGTGATGATCACATAATGTAGTACTGGGGCACAGTTACATTATAAGGAATTATACATATGGCTGCTTAGCAGGAATAGATTTTCTGGTGAGCTTTGCTTATCTTGGCATATTAGATTTGAAATAATATGCACACCTGGGACAGACCACATATGCTAGATTACATGTAATATGCTAAGCTTAGCAGTTTTATAATATACAAATCTTTTTATTTTTTATTTTTTTATTTTAATTGTTCTACAATGTTGTTGATGCGCTGATCCTGATGTCCCAATATATAGTAAGAATTGTGTGATCCATGACTGAGGGACTGCAGATATTGAGGCTTACAGCTTTTTTTCACACTCCAAATTTACCAAAAATTACCCCCAGCCCTTCCCAAATTAACCAGATGACAACCATTATTTCTTTGGAGTTGAATGTCTATAGCAGCCATTTTGTAATGTAAATCAAGACAACAAGCAATGATTATAAAAATAAAAAACACATAACAAGTTATGTATGAAAACTGACCTCTAACCTAGGCTAAGTTCTTTGAAGGCACTTATCTGAAAATTGGCTATATACGCAACAAAAATTCCTTTAAAGGCCCCTGGCCATTGCTATACTGCCTTGGAGACAATTAACCAGCAAACTACCAAAGATACAACCGAATCACCACCATGTTGCCAACATAGCCTAATTTTGGCCAGGGACACCTTGGATGTGTACAATCCATGGTTCTTCAAAAATCTTAACCAGAGCTTACTTCAAAGACCCAGAGATCCCTGCCCACTGCTATGACAGTTAAATTAAGAAAATTTACCACAGACAAAAAGTGCAATATCACCAAACTATCCTAAAGGAACCAACATTAAAAATGAAGAAGAATAGGGAGGAAACAAATGAATGAGGCCCATTGGAGGGAGAGCGTTAGAAACTTGTCTAGAGCTTGCTAAGCTCCGAATGATCTTCAGTAGGAACCCACTTCCTCCTAGCCACCTGCACAAAACACCCTGTGATTCTCATTTCTCCAGTCATGTAAGTGCCGTTTTTCTTTACTTAAAATAATCAAATTTAACATGAATCTCACCGTCTCTTCTGCAAGCTCCAGTGGCATCAACCTTCCACTTTGCATTGTTTACAGCTACAGGCATTGTTATGGACTCGCAAACAAAGAGAGACAGGCACAAACCTAAGTAGCAAGGCAACAAATTGGAAAATATACACACAATAGGTAGTACAATAAAAACAATGCTCCCAAGTGGGTCAAATCAATAAGAATGAACCACAATCCAGTAGAAAGAAAACCCTGTACATTGCTATTATGGGGGTGGCTGGTCTATATCTGGGTCATTTTGTTTATCTTAATTCTACCACCATTGTCTTTAGCAATCTGTGAGTAAATATAGAATCTTTTATGTACACAGTGCACTACTTCATTATTATTTGCCCACTTTTTGTACAATTTCACCAGACATGATTGTTTAATTGGTACCACCAAGCTGACCGCCCATTTCATGTATGTTTTTACTATCAGTACATGTGCCTATTGGTCTCTAAATGTAAAATCTATTATCTTCTGATCCTCAATATTATTATTATTATTTTACATCATTTTATCTTGGTCTTGTATCCCTTATATTGTATAGTCCCTGAAATATTTTTATTTATACCTATGACCGTTTTATTCACCTTAAGTCCTATATCTACAGTATTTTGCGCTCCATAAGACGCACTTTTTCCCCCCCAAAAAATGGAGGGAAATATCTGTGCGTCTTATGGAGCGAATATTGACCAGGCCTCCCCCACCCCCCATTGCCATCGCCGTGTTAGAATACCAGGTCGGCCACTCGGCTCTTCTATGGCAGAAGAGAGGAGGAGTCCGAGTCAGTAGTGGAGCAGCGTCAGGCCAGCCTTTCAGTGAATGAGCACGGCCCAGCTGAAAGGCGCACTTAACACCGTGGGAGGAGCAAGTGCTGGTGGCCGTGCTGCTGTGCAGTGTACATGAGCTGCCTGGACTGGACTGACTTCACTGCATCACACGAGGAATCCGTACCCCTGCAGAGCAAACTCATCACTGTAATCTGTACATCAAGGTTTATTATTTTTAATTTTGGTTGACCTGGGTTGAGGGAAGAAGTGGGTTAATGTTCTCAGCTACAGTGCTCTCATAACAATGAAGAGCATAAAAATACAACCTCCTCATTCTACATACAAGGATGATAAAGCAGAAAAAAATAGCATATAAAATTCCTTTTAAACTGGAGGTAGTAAAATATGCTAAGGAACATGGAGACAGAGGAGCGGAGAGACATTTTGGGCCCCCCCAACTGAAAAAATGATAAGAGAACTGAAAAAATGATAAGAGAGTGGAGGAAACAGACACCGGAACAACAGCTTCTCAGTCTCTACAAAAATGATAATATATGAAGCCAAACTCATTGCTGCAGAGAAAGGCATTCAGGATTTTTCTGGATCACCATTATGGTGCTACAGATTTATGAGGCAATGTGACCTTGTTATGCGCAGCAAAACTAGAATTACACAAAAAATGCCACAAGAATATGAATCTATGATTCTGTCTTTTCATAAATTTGTAATAGATGCTAGGAAGAAAAATGTTTTTAAAATTGGCAAGATTGGGAATATGGATGAAGTCTTGCTAACCTTTCCTGTGCCATCTAATA